TAAAATGGGGATAGTAACACAGACTTCATAGTTTTGGTTGTTGTTTTTTTTGTTTGTTTTGTTTTGCTTTGTGAGGATTAAATGAGTTAGTATATGTAAAGCAGTTAGAATACTGCTGGGCACGTAGTAGGTGCACAATAAAAGTTCTTCCTCTCCCCTCCCCTCTCTCCTTTCTCCTTTCTCTCTGGTCTTCATCCTCCTCCACTTCCTCCTTCTCCATAATCTGTCTACTCAAGGTCTCACAGCTAGGAAGCTGCAGGGCTGACATACTATGAAACGCTGCAGCCCATACTCTCGGCCACTAAGTGATAATAATTGACATGACCAAATGCTACTGACAAAATTTAGAGCTCACTTTAGATTAGAATATCACTGAGCAAATTCATCAGCAGTGCACTTCAGTGTTCTATTACACAAATCTGTTAAGCTGGGGAAAGGATTTCTTTGTTAAATAGCTGTTTAAAAGCAGCAAAACAGTATGCTAGTTTTTGAAGATTGAAGAAAACGTTGAAAGTTTGAAAAATTAACTTTCAATATAGAAAAAAGATTCTCTAAGAACAAGCAAGATTTTAAAAGGTATTCTTTTATGTTGATTTCTAATTGGAAATGTTTTACATTTATGCTGACTTTTCAAAAATTCTGAAGTTAGTAAGCATTTTCTTAGAATATTTAGAAAACTACTCAAAGGCATGAAGGAGAGAAACATTCTTAAGATATGCAATTGAGTTAAAATCCTCTCTAACCACTTTCCAACTTGCTACATCATGACAAATACTCATCATTAACCATGAAACGAATGCAATTTTCCTTTCACATTTAATGTTATATTGGAGATATTATACAGTATCTTTCATACTTTCTGGAACTGCACACAAGTAACATTTCATAGTAGCAGATGTGTGATATCACATGAAAACTTGTAAAACCTTTACATGAAAATCACATCTGTCAGTCTCCACTATTATTTTCATGGTAGTTGTATGGTTTGCTTCTCCGTCTGTGCCAGCAAAGGCAGCTTTGCATGAAAGCTGCCCCAGGAAATTGTGTCTTCTGGGCTAGCTAGTTAAGCAAATTGTATAACTGCCATTGAAACCAAAATGTAACCCAGCAGACATAATTCCACAAAAGAGGAGAGAAAGACACATTTATACAAAAGTCACAGCTGTTCAACTCTACATTTTGCACTTTTTTCATTAAAGAAATTTCCCTTTATGAACAGTGACAGTTACATTTCTAGTTAGCAACTTTAGGACTTTGTAATACATTGCTAAGTGCTGTACTGTCAAGGATTTAGTGTCAGGAAAACTAGGGCTAACCTCTTTCTGCGTCTACATTGAGCAGAAATGTGGTCTGTCTGTCCTGTCTTCAGATGAAATAAGGAAAGATGTTGAGTATGGCTCACTGTTCTCTAAAATACAGACCTGCGTGGCTGTCTCTATAGCTCCAAACGAGGGGCAACGTCCCTACATTGAGACCCACATAGTATGGCCTCTTCTTCATTCAGGACTTGCGAGTCTCACTCTTGGGGGCTGTGGTGTCCAGGGCCACTCTCAAGTCATGGGTAATGGAGCTGGTGGCTCAGAATGAGTGAGTTAGAAGCCAGCCTGATGGGGCTGTGCACAGCACGGCTCCCACTGTCGGAACGCTCCTGTGACACTACTAGAGTGCAGCCAGGGAGGAGATGTTCTCTGGGGACCCCTTATTCTTCTCCAGTGATGAGTCCCAGAAGCTTGTTCAGACCATCATGTGAGGATTATGAACACTACATTTATGGGATGCGTTTCGAGCAAGAGTTTGGAGCCTGGGCTCTGCAGTCACAGTTCCTGAGCCCATTCCTCTCAATAATGTGTGATGCTGGGTAAGTTACTCAACTTCCTCAGCCAGAGTTCCCCCATCTGTCAACTTAAGACAGTTTGCCTCATTACACTATAGAGAGGATTATAAATGTGCTTAAAGACTGTTGAGCTCTTAGCCCGCTTCATGGCACACACTGAGCCCTCAGTAGATGTTAACTGTTTTGATGACATGATACTTATATGATTATGATGATAATTTTTCTAGGTTTTAAATATATTAAACCTATAACCTTAAAATTGCATTTGCCCAGGACAGAATTATGGCACAGTAAAGTCACCAATAAATAGTGGTCAAAAATGATTCAATCCAGGTTTTCCAGTTTCAAGTTGTACAGACACTTTCCTGCTATTGACTGCTGAAATCCTACCTGCTTGTCTGAGGCTGGATGAGTGTGTGTGCAACTGTGTCAGAGGCACAAGGCTGATTTCAATCTGACGTGCCCTGCTGATGATAGACAGCCCACTCCACAACTTCCTCTCCCAGCTGTTGGTCTGTGTGAAGAGTAACTGACTGCTAAGTTAGACTTCCAGTGTCCCTGCATAGGCTTTTTTGCCACTTGGTAGGAAGGTGGAATGTTTTTCGTATTTTGTAACCAGATCTCTAATTGTGTAATTGGGTATGTAATTAAACACCAAAAATGATAGCTCTACAGAGAACCCACTATGTAATGTAAACATATAATGTTCACAAGTTGAGGTATTTTAATTATTTTCTTCCAAAAGACATTTCCAAGAAATATTGGCATAGAGTTCTACTTAAAATTATCTGGAGGTTTGGATTATCTGTCTCAATTTTTTGATTGGTCTGATACACACACACACCTAACTGTTGCTATTGGTATACCTTATGGAATCATGTAATGCGGAAAAAGCCATGACAAATAGTAGAACTGGATGCAGTCTGAAGGAAGTTAAACTATTTGACTCACTATGACCTGTATCTAAGACCTCACAATCACCTGAAATCTAAAACTATTAAATGTGTTAGTCTGATCTAATTATATTAAGATATAACTGACTAAATTACAAATAATTTTCTTACTATGGTGATGATACATGAAAAATGAAGTGAAGAAATGTAGAAAGAAATGTAATTTAAGCAAAAACAAGTACAAAGCAAACCATGTGAAATGTAATGATAATGAGGACCATTTTCTTTTACGCTTATAGCTAATGTCCAATTCAATAGTTAACTACCAGCAGCAGATCTTTACTTGAAGAACACACGCCTCAATGATCAAGAAGGTAGGAAGCATTGCTTTCGGTCATGTGGGTCTCTCACCTCTGTGACAGTTAGACAGAGAAAGAAGGTTTGACTTAAATACTGTTTCTCACATTGGAAAGCAGTTGAGGACATGGAAGAAGAATCTGAAGATTTCAAATACGGCAAAGGGTCAGCAAACCATGTTCTGCATGACAAATTTGGCCAGCTGCCTGTTTCTGTTAATACAGTTTTACTGGAACATATTACACCCATTCATTTAAGTGTCGCCTACGGTTGCTTTCAAGCTACAACAGCAGAGCTGAACAGTTGTGACAGAGGCCATTTGGCCCCCTAAAGTATTTGTTATCTGGCTCTTTATGGAGTTTGCCAATATCTCAACTTAGAAGAAGGTTCTTGTTCAATGAATTCTGCAAGAGAGTGTATTAAAGATGAGATCTGGTATGTCACATACCTCCATTCTCTTTCCTTACATGGAAATATCTTGGATTTCAGATGTAATAGGTTTAGGCAAGGGACAGTCTAATTCAACAAATTAAGAGAAGGTAGCACTTATTGAAAATCTTTAATGTTGATAAATTTAACCAGGAGCTGCAGCTACATTATTATTATTAAAATATATGTGTATTTTAATTGATGAGCAATGTAGTAGGAATAGGAGCCTTATAACTATTTACAAGTGATTTCCCTTTATTTTTGCAATTAGTGATACCTCCATGTACATATCTTAATTTTTGCATCTACTGAGCATCTACATGATGTTAGAGAATTAGATACTATGTTAGAAAATTGCGTTTGGCAAAGGAAGTGAATTCACCTTCCCTGGAAATGACTGACTGTGGTGCCAAAATAGGGGCTTTTCCAAATGAAGATGGTGGGTCAAACTATTCAAGACAAGTGTTCACGAAGGAGATGCCCAAGGGCAGGGAGCACACAGGTCGTCCTCATCAGCATCTCCCCAGTGCAGAGAAGGGCCTGACGCTTCGTAAAAGCTCAATAACAATTTGAACAATTTACTACAAAAATAATTTAGCAATAATGCCATTAGTCTGTAATCCTCTACCATCTAGATTATTATTGCTAAACAGAATATGATTGGAGAAAACAGAGTTAGATCTTGATGGAGAGTGAGAACATCTTCAGTTTTTCATCCTCTGCATTTTTTGGGTATCTGGTTTTGTTATTCACCCAAATAACATTAACAACATGACACAATAGATAAAAAATAAAAATTCCTCTATCAGAAGAAGAGTTCTGGAAAAGTCAGTCACGTATTTAACTTTTGAAAATTATGAATATTATTTGATTTTCCCAAGAAAAAGATGTGTATATAACTGAATCCCTAACAGGGGCTTCATCCTGAATAAAAGGGTGCATAGAGGGGTAACTCATATTATGCTAAGATACATACATTAAGGTAATGAAACCTCCAATAGATAACATAAAAGTCCAATCTACAAAAAAAATACCCTTGATTTAAAATGAGGCCCTAAAAGAGAGGAAAAAAAATCTTAATTTTATTTCATCCCTCAACTGGAAAGTATGGCTGCTTCATTTAATTGACTCTGAAATGTGGTTTAATAGAGTATCTCTTTTACACAACTAGTCAGCTCCCAACATTCTGATTGCAAAATGAAGGGCATTTACTTTGATGTCTTTAATTATCACTCATTTAGAGGACAGTGTAAAACACATTTTTCCAACTGGTGTTTTAGAATCGTGAGTCAAAGGAAAGGAATGACAAATTAGCCAGCTGGAGAGCAAGAGACAGCTAGCTAGTGCTGCTAGAGTCTTTGTGGGTACTTCAAAGTAAGACGACAAAGGAATAAAGGGACTGTTAGCCACACAAGCTCAATAAATGAAATACTAACACAATTTCACAACACATTAATAACAAGTTAATATCAAACTTAGAGACTTACTCAACATAATAAGTGCCATATATGGGATCATCGATTTTTTCCCAGCCATATGGAAGCTCTGAAAAATAAAGAGTTATTTCTTTCAGTAAGTAACAGATAACACTATTTCTAATAAAAAGTAATATAATTTAATTGTTCGTGGATTGCAGAAATAGTCTACTAAAGTGGAATAAAGCATTCAGAGTCAGCACCAAATTTCAAATGCATATTGTAGGGACTATAAGAAGCACTGACTTGAAAATTGGCACTTAAAACACAGAACTCTCTTCTCTGCAGATGTACTGCTGGGTCTAGCTGTTTATCCCACGCCAAGCAGTAGAATGGCACGTTATCATGTTATCACCACTCAAGGTAATACAGAAGGCAAATCGCTTTCCTGAAAGAGCGTACAGCTTTCTCATTTATTTGTATTGTTAAAAGGAGCATTTCAGGATGAAGATCCTATTTTCAAAATATATTTCTGAGAATAGCAAATTGTTTCTGATGACTGAAACAAAGACATTATACATTCTCAATTGACACCCCACTATTCGAGATGGTTAGCTTGCTTTTCTCTCTCCATGGGTCAGAATTTGAATACTGCCAATAAACTCTTTGGGTATATTTTTGTATAAAGTCTAAAATTCTAAACACACTTTCCTTGACAATATGGTTCATATTTTCAATTCTCCACAGCAAATTTTAATAAATACACGTTAAAATATCAACAATACAATAAAAGCTACTTTAAGCAAAAACATGTTATTTGAAAACCAGGTTTTGTGTTATGATACTGTTTCCAAATACACTAAGCCTTTATAATTATTAACTCCTATAAATATGAAGAATATTCTAGTTTCCTCATACACATTAATAATACATATATAACTTGAAATCTAAGTAAGATATATTGACATGCTCTAAGTAATATGTTTAAATGACACTTAAAAGTTTTATTTTTATAAGTAGTAACACATTTTCACCATAGAAAAGCAGTTATAAAAGAAAATTAGAATCACCTGCAATCCTGCCATCCAGAGATAAGTGTGTGTGTGTGTGTGTGTTTGTGTGTGTGTGTGTGTATAATTTTTAAAGACATTAGATCATATAGTGCATATTATTTTTACAGCCTAGTATTTCTACCTAACAAAATATCAAGGGCATCTTCAATGTGAATGAGTGTTACTGCAAAATATCTCTTTTAAAGTGGACAGTAGTGGTGTGGGGTGTGGCCAGAGCCTGTGTAATCTCACCAATCTTCTATTATTGAACATTTGGGACTCTCCAGTTATATATCATCTGTGTTGGACTTACTAAAGCCTAAATCTTTCATCATTTTCCCAGTAATTTAGTCATGATAAATTCCTAGAGGTAAAATTTCAGATTAAAGGGCATGTACCCTTTTATGGCTTTTGGTAAATGTATATCTACATTTATATCCAAGTTGTTGCCATTCACTCACAAAAGAGAACCAATTTATAACTTCACTGGGAGTTTATGAATTGACTTTGTTTCTCTGTACCATCAAATTAAATACAGGTCCATAATTCCTCATCCAAAACTTTTTGGGACAGAGAGGTTTTGAAATTCACAATTTTTCTGATTTTAGAAGGATAACACGAGGCAAATGCATTCTGTTCCATAACACCTCAAGCAGAGTCTGAAAAAGCACCTTATAATCAAAGCCATGAGTATTTAAGCAGCCCAAACCATGTGATTCTCACTAAGAGGCACAAAAAAAGGACCACTTCACATCAGTTAGCACTGGTCTGCCAGCATGTCCAGGTCAGGTTACCTTTTGCTGCCAAATGAGTATAAAAGGCAGTTTTTAGAGCTTCTGAATTCTGGATATGCAGATAAAATACTGTATATCATTATTTTAAAAATCAACAAAATTGTTTTTTAAATAGTATCTCATAGTTGTTTTAATTTGCCTTTCTTGGATTTCTAGTTAGTTTCAACATTTTTTATTTGTTCATCCTTGGGCAACTGTTTTTTCTTTTGTACATTTCTTGTTTTTATAAATCCATTCATAAGAGTTTTTTTTTTTTTTTTTTACTTGTTAAGAGTATTAGTCCTTTGTTACATATGTTGCATATATGTTTTTAAGAGTTTGTTTAGATTTTAATTTTGTTGAACATTTTCTTCAACACAGTTGTTTTAATTTTTGATTGGTAAATTTCTCAGTGTTTTCCTTTATGGCTTCTATCATTGGAGCTTAGCCTAAATACTGAAGAAATTTTTCAAGTTTATTTATTTTTTTTAAATATAAAGTCTAGGCTATGCCTTGGTTTAATAATTTTTGGATTAAGTCATATGTTAATAAATATACAATACCAAATTGTGAAGCATCTTAAGAAATTTTTCTGTCAAAATGATAATAAGAATATTACTGAGTATTTACTATGGTCCAGGTACTGATGGATTTTCCATGCACTAACTCATTTTACCTATACAACAACTCAGGATTTAAGAACCCTGTACTTTGGTTCCAGAGACCTTAGCCAATTCAGATATCAATTTAGGCACTCTGCTTAATACAGCATAAACAATACTTAATTTAAACTAATGAGAATAACTATCCAGATGATGTTTACCAAATTCCCCAAGCTATCGGAGAATTTGGCTATTAAAAAGAAAAATCCATTTGACAAACATCTACTGAGTGCCTTTTACAAGTAGCTTAAGTAAAAGAATATACAGAGGACAAGAATTGATATTATGAATATTTATTATTAATATGACTGAATACATGGATTCATATATATAATAGGTTTAATATCACCTGATGAATACAATAATATGTAAAATAATAATATTTAATAATTTTCAGAGTAAAAGCCTAACGTGGTTAGTTTTATGAATACTAGTCCTACTTCCTAATGGCACTGCCAAATGGAAGCATTTCATGGTCAAATTTAAAAAAAAATATCTTTTACAGTGTAATCTATTCCTTCACTTATTCCTTATCTTTGGCTTTTTTTTTCTGAGTAAATTACTAATGCTAAGCAATGTATCTCCAAAGTATACAGTTCACTGATTCTTTATCTTTGTGGATTTACAGTGCCAAAGGTTCTGGAAACAATTCATTGGCATTCTTTCCCATTTGCCATCATGAAGTGTTCATCAGAATTCAGGGGGAATCTGATTTGCTTTTCATACGATATTAATATAGTTTGTTTGCTTATTTCATATTTCCAAAATAAACTATTAATTCATGTCTAAACAAAATTATATATTATAAATATTTATACTTTAAGATGAACTATTAAGTGCTCCTTGACTCACAATTTGAGACAAAATGATACACTGTAGCTCTAACCTGTTACAAAGAGCTGTCATTCATTTCATTTACAAGGTCTGCAGAGGAGTGATGGTTGAATGTTACAAGAAACAAGTAATAGAATACACACACTGGTTCATTTGTAAATAGGACAGAATAGGTATAAAATCTACAACCAATGCTTAAAATGGTGTGTGTGTGTGTGTGTGAACATATACAGGAATGTGTATGTATATATGTTTGTGTGTATGCATGTGCATGTATGTGTGGATATGTGTTTGTGTGTATTCCCATTAATGACATTCTTCCTGAGTGGCAAAGAAAAGCCAAGTCATAAAATAAATTCTTAAGATTAACTGAAGAGTATACATGTATATGATGAAAAATTAAGACAGTTAAGAAACATCTTTCACTATGAAAAATTAGCTATCTGGACTTCAATTCGTTTTTAAAAACCAATTGCTTCTTTTTAAAATTAAGCTAACAAACGAGAAAAAAGAATTTCCAATTTTGTACTATTTGCCCAGCCAAGCCAAGTATGCCGCTTGGAACTCTTGGGTCCTGGGTTATTTAGAATACTGTATTCAATAATACCTGACAAATGTGCAGATGATTAAGGTCACACTAATGAAAGCATAACCTATACTATGCAACAGAGAAAAATAGACACTTGAGATCAGCAAGGTTAATGCTGTATTAAGAACTGCTGTAACTGAGATTTTCTTCAGGCCATGGAACCATGGGGAAAATTCAGTGATTAGATATTCCTATAGTGATCCACTCTGCGAAAGTCTGTGAAAATGTCTAGGTTAATTTGTAGTCAGTCATATAAGCTTCGTAAAACTTTAATAGAATCAAAAATTAAAGAGGCATCTAGTTCAGCTTGGATTCTGCCACAGCCACCATGCTCTTCTTTTTATTTACTCGCTCTGTCCAATTCTTATTTATTTGTTAGGTCCATTTTTGTTGCAGAAAACTGGGACTCCTTTATTAGCTCAAAAAAACATTTTTCAGGCTACAGCTGGGCAACTTGTAGAATCCAAGGATAGTATTCTTTATGGAAATGGGACCCAAATACTGAAAAGCTATAAGGAACCTAAGATACACTATCTCACTACTTTGATCTCTTGAGTTTCCCAATTCTGTACCCAGCCTCCTCCCCTGCATCCACCCAAATTCATTAATCCAGTTCGTTTTCTTCAAAATAGATCCAAGTTACTTAGCCCGGCAAATCACTGTAATGGCTGTCCTCAGGTCAAGAGCCCACTCACATATTAATCAGGTATGGCTGGGGGCTGTGTCCATTTTTTGCCACATTTGGCAAACACAAGTGGAGGAACATTCTAGAAAATAACAAGCCAGTACTCTTCAAAAGTGTCAAGGTCATGAAATAGAAAGACTGACTGAGGTATTGTCACAGTGTGTAGAGGAGACCATATAGACACGAAGAGTAAATGCAGGGTGGGATCTGGACCAGAAAAAGGACATTAGTGAGACAACTGGTAAAAGTCAGATAAGACTTGTAGATTAGTTACTAGTCTACATGAATGTTAATTTCCTGACATCAATAATTGTGCTATGAAAGATGTTAATATTAGGAGCAGTGAGGTGAAAGGTATGTAGAAAACGCTTTGTACTATTTTTGTAATTTTTCTGAAATCTAAAATAATTTCAAAATGAAAAAAAAAACTGAAAAAAGCTACTTCACCAACTCTCACTATTGAGTAGATGACTTCTACTCACACTTTATTAATATCCAATCAGATACATATAACACTGAATTAATTTGGATAGTG